TTTTTTTTTTTCATGTAAATAATATCTAAATGCCCTATTCACCATAAATTATAATGTGTCACCTGATCCAGCTTCAAGAAACTATTTCTCAAATTGCTATTTATAAAGCATTTATTTGCTTTATTTTTTCCCCTTCTTTCTATCCAGGAAGGAAGAGCAATGACATGAATTATCCACTCTGGTTTGTAGTCTAAGGTAGAGTTTAAGGAAGAAAGGAACAAACAAAAAAAAATTTCTTATAAAATTCACTTCCAGGAACTACACCCAAGTAATATTCAATAATACTCAAACATTCTGAAATTGACTTTAACTGTTCATGCCCATAAAAGAGCATCTGTCTTTTCCCACCCCCTAGTGCCTGCTCCAAATGCACTTATTTTTTATTTATTTTTTATGAGTATATTGCCTGCATGTAAGTGCACTCATGTCGTACAATGCCAACACGTCAGACACAGGTGTCAGATCCCCTAAAACGGAAGTTCCAGATGGTTGTTAGCTGCTATGTGGGTGCTGGGAACTGAACCCTTGTCCTCTGCAAAAGCAGCTAGTGCTCTTAAGCTCTGAGTCATCTCTTCAGCCCCTCCAGAACCACTTATATTTATTTACTTGTGTGTGTGAATGTGTGGGCATGCACATTATGGTGTGTGCGGAGGTCAGAGGACAACTTGTGGGAGTTGGTTTTCATCTTCCATATGGGTTTCAGGAATTGAACTCAGGTCATCAGGGTTGGTGACAAGTGCCTTTACCTACTCTGCCATCTTGGAATACATTCTTACAAAGCTCCAATACCTACTCCAAATGTGTTATATGAAGCAGATTTCCTCAAACCACTTGTAATAAAATGAAGGCTGTGACAGAATCACCCATGATTAATCTCAAGAATTTCCTTTCCAGATAAATACTTATTATGTACAAAACATGTATCATAAGCTTATTAGTATAAAACCTCCTTAATATAAGTCAGCAATTCAAAATATCCTAGATCAAGTAATATTAATAATGTCCAGATTGTTAATTTCAGGTTGCCTGGGTTCTCTATAATAGCAATTATTGAAGGTGATTAAATATTGTATATATTCAAGGATGTCAGTATGGGTCATCAATTAATAACTTTTTCTATGCAGTTAAACCACCTATTTAGAAAGATACCAGTAGATAGTTATTCAAAACTGGTTGTATTATTTCATGGATTGTCTGGACAAGACATTTTGCAAACAGAAATGGAAGACCTACATGAACTAGTAAGCACTCAAATTATTACAGGGCTCCAAGTTTAATTAAGTACTTAAATAACAGAAAATATCACATTTTGTGGAAAAGTTTTTATTTATTTTAAAAGTAACATTATGTACAAATGTTTACTCTTTCAAGGCAATGCAAGCACAATGCTCAGCATGAGCACAGTACCCCGCTCTTGTTTTGAGAACACTTGAAGGCATACCACTCACTCAAAGTAGAAACATATGATCCAATTACCAAACATAATATATCAGAGTAAGCACACACAATTGAACAGTCATGAAAAAATAGAGGATTGAGCCAAACATTTGGTTTAAAAATATTAAATTCAAGTTATACGGAAATTTTGTGCATAAAAATTATAGTGTATAGTCAGAAGGACCCTTCAACAGTCACTTCTAAAAACAAATAGTAACTTTAGTTAAAAAGTTAAAACTTTTTTAACTTCTCTTTTTCAAAATACTTCAAAATCCAGCCAGGCGTGCTGGAACATGCCTTTAGTCTCAAGAGCAGACACAGGCAGATCTCTTTGAGATGGAAGCCAGCCTGGTCTACATAGCGAATTTCAGACCAGCTGGGGCTACAGGGAGACCCCGTGTAAAAAACAGAAAACAAAACGAAACTCCTTCACTATCTAAATTAAAATAGCACATTTAAACAATTTCAAAAAGATGTCATACAGCTCTTACCACATGTGCTCTCCTGGTGGTGTATATATAAAAAAAAGTGCAACAAAAAAGAGCAAGGAAAGCCAAATGAGGAAGAAAAATGACTCAATTAAGTGAGAATCAAAAGTGTGATCTTAAATTATCTTTTTCCCTCCCCGTCAGTGCTTTTCACGTTGTCTCTGGAGACTAAGCAACTGCAGGCAGCTCTCCTGACTCACCCTCTCTGAAACCTCCCCTGGCTGGCACAGTGCAACCAGCACTGACATCCCCTCTCCATCTGGTAGGAACCTACACCCAGATCACACACCTACCCCTGGACTGCAAGGAATAGCATTACAAAAGTGCTGAGAGTGATAGTTCTGCAAAAAAGGGGCTCCTCTAGTGGTTACTCTGCTAGATGGCTTTGTTGCTTTGATAACAACCACTTAAATAAAGCTAGAAATATTTAAAAACTAGAAATCAAACTGCACACAGATAAATCTTCAGGAAAATGAGTAGTTAATAGCGCCACCACAAAGTCTCTGGTCCTCTATTCCTACTTCACAGAATTCACTTTTCCTGTAATAATCCTAAACACGAACATAAGTTTTCCCTTCTGCTCCATCAAGAAACAGCATCCCTTACTGTATCAAAAGTATTGGAACCTCTGAGACAAACAGGCAGTTTCAAGCCCACCATTTTTACCCATCAGGCTGATCTTTCCTATTCTCGGTCTGCACACTCAAAGTGCTAGAAGCTTCAGGAGAGGGCTGCTCAGGGGAGCTGGTCTGGCTTCCTCCTAAGGGGGTGGGTAGGGAAGGTACCACAGCAGCACACAATGGAGTCCTCCTCAGCTTTATCACTCTGTGGGGTGTAGACTTCTTGTCAGAGAGTAGCACCTTGGCTGGAGGTGGCTGTGGGGCTCCATTTTCAGCACTCTGGGAGTTAGAGAAAGCAAGAGAATGCCCAGATGCCCCTGTGGCCACAGGGGACACAGAGCGCTGAGCTGCCTTTCCATAGCTGCCACTTTGAGACTGGTTTGTTGTCACCTGAGAGGTGGTCTGGGCAGCATTGGCAGGTACCACCCTCACTGAAGCAGAGTTCTTGACTTTAATTTGGGTACTTGTGGAAGGGCCCAAAAATCTGACTGGCTTAGGACCAGTCTTGCAGTTCCCACCTTCATCCTCTTCATTGAGGGTTAGCAGTCTCCTGGAAATACAGAAGCATTCTATTTCAGCACCTACATTTTTGGTAGCTAATTAAAAAAAATCTCCAAAAACCACCTTCAGGGTAACAAAAGGGCAAGAGGTTTATATACACCAATCTGCCTCACCTCTTATCCCTCCACCAAGGCCAATGTGTAAATCAGCAAGTTTATGACTTGTTTACAAACTGTATCTTAAAATCTCATACATAACATTAAGAGTGACAAGTGAAAATTTGCAGTGTTAAGAATTATACAACTTAGCACTCTGTCTCCAAGAATTCTGATGTGATCTACAGGCTAATGAAGGATGAATATCCAAAGCAGTTTTTCCTAGAACCGTACAGCAAACAAGCTTACTAAAGAAAAGGGACTCACACCCAAATAAATTTGGGACATGCTATTACATGTTATTCTCCAACTACAGCCTTAAAATCCACATATAAAAAGGTCTGAGAAGCCTGTAGTAAAGATGCTTACTTAACAGAACTGTATTTGCCATCACTCTGTCACTCTTGACAGCAAGTAGAATTTGCATGCTGTGAGACACTAGAACAGTCAAATCCACAGTGAAGTTAGGTTATTTTTGAATCTGAAAAGTATTGGACAAATGTCCAAAGAGTCCTGAATGACTTCACCATTCATTATAAACAGCTTAAAGGAGAACATTCCAAAACAACCTTTAAACCACCGAACCTGGTGGCACACACCTTAATCTCAGCATTCTGGAGGCAAAGGCAAGCAGATCTCTGTGAGTCCAAGGCCTTCCTGGTCTACATAGTTCCAGACCACCTGGGGCTACAGGGAGACTGTCTCAAAAAAACAAAAAAACCTTAAACTGCCAAAGCCCTGCCTGTTCCTCCCACTGTTCCCTGCACTACTTCCTGTTAAGAGGATAGCCCCTGAACACAAAGGTAGCAGCAAACCTCCCAGCACACTTCCTCTCACAGCATTACTAGGCTGTTAGAAGCAATTGCAACATGGTGAGCTCTCCCTTTTTGGAAACAGAATCACAGGAGTCTAGTTTATGAAAATTTCCCCATACAGCAAAGAACACTAATATATTCAACCTTAAAACTCTACTGAACATAATTTAACCCTCTCTGGTGAGTCAGACAGCCCTGTGGGACCTGATAAGTGCTTCTAGTCATCATTAACATTATCTTGTCTATGCATCAAAAATGACATTCCCAAACTCTGAGAAAAAAGATCACTGACAAAGAGGGGATCTCCATCAACCATACTTGTCTGCTTTGTTTCCATCCAGTCTTCTCGACTCTACACCAAGTTCTCTCATCCTTGGCAAGATTACCATTTCAGTCAATCGTTCGTTGGGGGCAGGGGCTACCAGTAGGATGATGTATGCCCATATCCCTGGTCTGTACCTAGAGGTGCCAGGAATATCCACCACCCTATATGACAACAACCAAAAAGGAAAATCATACCCAGTTTGGAACCACTGCTCTAGATTCAATATTTGCTGTTGGTTCAAAAGGCAAAATAAATAATGATAATACAATTAGTGTCTTTAAGAAATAAAATCTGTTCTGCAAAGAGATGATCAACTACTGAAAACTGAATAATCTTCACTGCATTTCTTTGAAAGATTCAGAGGACAAAAGCAGGAAGAGAGCCTGCAATTCCACGGGCTATGGATCAAATTTCGGAATGAGGGATCAAGAAATGAAAACATCTGATGGCATTAATAAAACTGAGACATCAAAAAGAAACACATTTTAAATGCATTTAAGACAGCAAAAGACACAAACATGGAATAAATTTTACGCTAATAATTTCATGGACCTCAAGAAAGTATCACTAAATAAAAACGGTATTTGTAGCAATAACAAAGAGAAGAGAATTCAGAATAAGCCACAGGAAATTTCAAGTATTAAGCCTAATTTTTTTAAACTATTTTTTTAACCATTGCTAATAAAGCCTGGAATTTCACTTCTGTGATAGAAAAAATGCCTATCACAATATTCCCACTGTGTCCACTAAGTAGTCTTAAAACCATACTTTCAGGGCTGGAGAGATGGTTCAGCAGTTGCTGTTCTTGCAGAGGACCAAGGCTCAATACCCAGCACCCACATGGCAGCTAACAACTGTCTATAACTCCAGTTCCAGAGGATCTAATGCTTTCTTCTGACCTCTGTGGGCATTGCATGACACAGTTGCACTTACACACATGCAGGCAATAAAAATAAATAAATAAAATATTTTAAGAAAACCATACTCTCCTAATGAGAACATACATCACATCAGAATTAGAGAATCATTACCCATATTTAGAGTTTTATTAACTTTGTATTTATATTTTAATGATAATGTAGAATATTCACTAGGTGATTAACAAGCTTAGGAAAGTAAGAGCTATTATTCATTCCCCTTCATAATGGCAATAAAAATATCAGTTACAGATTTAAAAAAAAAAAAAAAAAAAAAGTCAGATAACCTCTTTCGAATTGGGGCCATGTGTCGTAGACTTCCATGCAAAGGCCGCTCTTCCAGAGTCCAGCACTCTATCAGCTCATGAGGCACCCGCCAGTAGCTGACACCTTGGAGATAAAAAGAGAATTAAGAGAGCCCTGAGTCACTGCGGCAAACACTGCTACCTAAGACTGGCCAGAAGCACTCTGTGGCTTAAGTCTCTCGGCTGATGAATGCAGGTATGCCCAACACAAACCAGAAATGCTCCCTGACAGTAGTGTGGCAAGGCTCATAGTCTGGGTCCAGGAAGAGCTGGCTGCCAACCAGAACTCTGTGGCTGACTAGATGAGAAAGCAGCTTGCTATGAATGCCTCAGTGCCTGAGTGTGCACTGGCTGAGGGCACAGGCTCTGGCCCTGGGTCTGAATTCCACTCCGCCACTCACTAATGGGACCTTGGGAAAGTGGGACCTGAATTTTTATTCCCTTAGTGATCACAGTATGTACCCCACAAGACTGCTGTGATAATTAAATGGGTTAATATACATGAAAGGTGAGGTCAGAGAGATGGCTGGGTGGTTAAGAGCATGGGCTGTTCTTGCAGAGGACCCAGGTTCGGTTCCCAGCCCCCACCTGGTGGCTAACAACCATCCTAAGTCCAGTTCCAGGGATCCAATGCCCTCTTCTGACCTCCACAGGCATGACATGGGTACATTTACACACATGTAAGCAATACTTTCATAAACATAAAATAAAAAATGATAAATTTTTTTTTGGTCTTTTTGAGACAGGGTCTCCTTGTAGCCCCAGCTGTCCTGGAATTTGCTATGTAGAATAAAAAATAAATAACCATGAAATGCTTAGAACAGGTTAAGCACTCAAAGTGTTGGATGCCTTTATCAACCAGTTGCAGCACTGGTAGTAGTGTTAACAGTATTATACAGTTGTAAGTCTATCACTTGCCCTGTTTGCTTCTTTGGGTTACTGTTACTGTCAAATCAGGAAAATATGTGAACTACCCTGTAAACCACTAGGTAAATAAAAGGTATCACCACTGTATCAAAATAAGGTCAAAGAGCTGGAGAGATGGCTCTGGAGAGATGGCTTCCTGCTCTTGCAGAGAACTCAAGTTCAGTACCCTGCACCCATGTCAGCAGTTCAAAACTGCCTGTAACTCCAGCTCTAAGAGATCTGACTCCTCCTCCTGGTCTCTATTAGCACCTGCATACACATGTACATACACACCTGAACACACACACACACAAATAAAAAAATCTTTTTTTTTTTTTTATCTGACTCCCCCCCCCGGTCTCTATTAGCACCTGCATACACATGTACATACACACCCGAACACACACACACACAAAAAAAAAAATTTTTTTTTTTTTTTTTGTGAATGCTAACACATTTCTCAAATATTTTATTTCAAATATGTAGATATTTGGAAGGGGAAAGCACAAGCTATAAGAGTTTTCTTCCAATCCACTTAGAATCAGAACTGAGAACCTACCTCTGCTCCTTGTAGCTACATACACTGGACACTGAGTGATTTTTATACGGGGAGTATACTCTACACTCCCCTGCATTTACAGATTGAAACAGATTTTTTTTCTCAAGTGATACTAATATAGGATTAGTTATGGAATGCAATCTGATTCCACATAACATCTCAGACCCTCCAGGGGTATGAGCCAATAGGAAGAGCAGGGTAATGGTGCTCCAAAACCACTGCACATGACCTTGTATGTCATGTGTTTACAGTCCCCCATGCAAGGCGCCCCCTAGAGTTGTACAACAGGCATGACAGCTTAGTCTTCCAGTGCTTCAGGCAGTGCTCTTTCCCAAGCCTGACAAAGCCCTGTAACAGCCCGAGTTGAAAACGATACTAGAATCCACAAATGTCTTCAGGCTTTTGACTTGGCCTTGACACAGTATGAGACATTTCCTATGAGATGTTCCTTTGGGGGCTTGCTTGCTTTTCATTTCTTTATTTTCTAGTGAGTGCAGCAACATACTTCAGTGTACAAGCTAACGACCAGCAGGAACAGAAACGTAGCAAGTACTACTGTTTCTCTAAAGAAACGTGCAGTTACAAATACATAGCAAGCACTGAGATTTAATAATTTACAGAGATATAATGCTCAGATTATCAGGCAAAATATAACATTTTGGATATTTTCAAACTCTTGACTGATAATGAGTGATTTCAGAATCCAAATATTTGTTTAGAAAAAATATTACCAACAAATATATTTAATTGATTCTCAAAATAGAGATAACTTACAATATCCTGGGAGGTTTAGCTGACATATAATTTCTTAACATTTCAATATTATATTTTCCATCTGTAACAGAAATATGGAGCATGTATATGCTAAACATTGCTACTGCTTAGAAACTGCCTATGATCAAGGGCAATTGCTGAACACAGGAATCACAAGTATGAATGAAGAGGCCATGTTAGGCCCAGGAAGAAAGTGCATTAATGAAAAGTGATTAGCAGAGAAAGAAATGAATGTGCATAAAATAGTAAAATTCAAAGCAGTGACAACCCTTTCAAATTGCTTTAAAACTCTGTACATTATCTTATTGGAATAACATTTTTATTGGTAGTTTAGCACCAAAGCAATCAATAAAGGCAATTATATGGTATTAAAACTAGGAAGTTAGCTTTATCACTTTAAATTGCAGGCAATGTGTTTGGACCTATCTCTCAAACCTCATAGCAAAAGGAATTCATGATCAAAATACCCATCAAAATCCACTGCCCTCACAAGTCACCCTCAATTCTAAAACAGTGATACAGGACACAAGGCAATAGAGATCTGCTCTGATCTGAGATGCTGACCTGCTATCATTTGTGTGATAGTTAGTATGGTCAACTTGACAGAATCTAGAATCACCTGAATCATGAACTTCTGGGCATGCCTGTGGGGAATTATCTTGATTGCATTAACTGAGGTGGAAGACCCACCCATTGTGGTTGGCATCATTCCCTGGCTGGGATCCTGGACTGTGTAAGTGGAGAAAGGGAGCTGAGCAGCAGCAGCATCCATCACTGTTTTCTGATTGTGAATGCAATGTGACCAGCTGCTTCAGGATCTTGGTGTCTTGAGTTTGCTGCACAGATGGACTGTACCCTTGAACTGTCAACCAGAGTAAACCTTTTCTCTCTTAAGTTGCTTTTGTCAGGGTATTTTATCACAGCAGCAAGAAAAGAAACTAATATCACATGGTATGGTTTGTTCCACCAAAATTCACATTGAAGCTCATTCTCTAATGAAGGGTTAGTGAGAAGTATTCAGGTTAGGGGTGTGAGGCTCTCATGAATGGACCAATACTCTTATCCTTTTAGCACTAACTGGACTGGATAAGATACAAGAGAGGTAGGTAGGTTGCTTGGTTGGTTGGTTGCTTGCTTGCTTGCTTGCTTGCTTGCTTGCTTGGTTGCTTGGTTGGTTTTTTCTTTCTTTCTTGCAAAGTCCTTAGTTCAGAATTTTGAGATCAATATCAAAGGTCAGGAAAATATTTGTTCTGTGTGTTAAGTGTCCACCCACAACCCAGCACACATGTTCAGCCTCTTGTTTGGGGGCCAGGTTGGTCAAGGTCCAGAGACCAGATAC